GAAGTAACCACATGTGAGTTGTTTGTAAAAAACATTGTGTACACCTGGTATGTAGTACAGGGTCACCCAGGATGAAGGAAACTAGATATCTTTTAAATTCATACTAATAGTCTTTATTCACTAGGAAGATAATTGGATGTTGATTCTTAGTTATTAAAAAAAAAAAGCTTTCTGTTTTCTCTGCATACACGTATGTCCTGTCTCTCTCACCATTTAACAACCATTGAAACCAGGTTTTTGCTTAGACTACAGCTCATCTGTTAATAAAAGCTGAGTAAATATGTACACATGCTTTTACCATAAGTCTTGTAGGAGCATTCTCCTTACCCCATTTACCCCGCTCGGGATTAGTTCCCTGAGGGAGGCAGCCGTAGCAGTGATGCCACAAGTTTGATGACGGCTGAAGGCACTCTTTGCCTTGAGTGTGTAAGTTCCCCTTGGGAGTCCTGTGTTTAATAATGTGTCACCAGTTCCTTACTTCCTGTTAGCTTGTCTCAGTAAACAGGACTGCAGCATTCATTGGATGCCACTTTATTTTTAGTTTTTTAAATCACCTCCTGATAAATAGCAACAGTAAACAAGTATTAAAACATTGAAACTAATTTGAAAATAGTGCTATCCTGGGGAGTCTGGGATTCCAGACATTACCAGACAGTTGTAAATCAGCAGACACCTCAGAGTTGGAGAATCAAAGCAGGAAAATAAGAATACCTAAGTTTGCTCACCTGGAGCCATTTTTTTTCTGAAGAGCAAGGGTCAGTCGCTTTTACAGAAGACAAAGAGGCAACGCCTATAGTGGGGAGTCCACATTTTTCTTCAGCTTTCATCATTCTTGTACAGCCCACTGACATATCCCAAATGAAAAGTATTAAGACTTATCTGGATTGTTGTGCTTTGCAGTAATTGCACACTCGAGAACTGAAGACATCATAATGGTGATGGTTTTTAAATGCACCTGCTGAATGAACACTCGATGGCTATACTGCAGAAATGGAAATACAAAGGAAGTGGGGATAGATGACATACTACCTATAATAAGATCTAACACTTACTGAGTGCTCACTCTAAGACAGGGATTGTTCTGAGTTATTTACATGCTTTCACATGTTTATTTCCTGTGATACTCTATGGGATCATCCATATTATTTTTACTTATGCAAGAGAAGAAATGGAAGCCTAAAGAAATTAATATTCCTTAGTTCTCAAAAATAATGAAGGATTGAGCTGGAGTCAGAACCCCTGCAGCTGAGCTTTGGAGTTCTTGCTCTCAACTTGACCCTGGCCTGTATATATGTATGCATGTATGTGTGTGTGTATGTATATGTATGTGTATATGTGTATATAATATCAGGTATTTGATGCAAGGAGGTGTGATAAAACAGACAAAGGAATAGTTTGAGAAGGAAAACTTAAGAAGCTTAGATCGAAAAGATTTATGTGGAAAGTTCAAATTAGAATGCACTAATTTACTTCTTCGAAAAAGATCTCTGTTCTTTAAAAACTATAGTGTGTTCTACAAATATGTATCATTCTAAAGCCTAACTATTTTAAAGACACATTTAAATGCGTCTTACATTAGTTAATAGCTTAATTTAGGTATTTTTTTCTGAACAATTTATCTTACAATGAGCCTGGAAAGAGCATGCTTCAATCTGTAATAGAGTAAAATTAATAAATAATGCATGAGCAATATCGCTGGAAAACCCCCAAATGAATCCTTTTCACTTCAGTGTGAAGCTTTAGCTAGTTTAACAGACTCTTCTTTCAAAGCTGTTTCTTTTTTGGTATTTTCCAATCTTTCAAGATTGACTCTCCTATATTCTACTGAGAAAAATTCTTAATCATCTTGGATGCCTCTTTTCTTTTGCTTCCTCATTGTCATACTGACTCAATGTTAAATCAGTGTCTAAAATATTAAATCTTTTTTTTAAGATTTATTTTGTTTATTTGAAAGGCAGTACAGAGAGAAAGACAGAGATCTTCCATCTGCTGGTTTGCTCCCCAAATGGCTGCAACAGCCAGGGCTGGACCAGACTAGGCCAGGAGCCATGAGCTTCTTTCAGGTCACTCATGTTGGTGTATAGGCCCAAGGGCTTGGGCCATCTTCTGCTGCTTTCCCAGGCACATCAGCAAGGAACTGAATGTGAAGTGGCACATCTGGGACTCGAACCAGCGCTTATATGGGATGCTGGTGTAATAGGTGGCAGCTTTAACCAGTACACCACAATGCCAGCCCCAAATATTAAATATTGATTCAATATTGATTCAGAGTCTTAAACATGTTTTAAACATGATCATTTACATACTATTGTACATTGTCTTCATTGGGGTTTCCAGGTTTTCCTGATGCAGTTGTTTTCTATTTTATCTCCCTACATTTAGTCTTCTTTCTAATCTGATCCATTTTCTCATTACAATAAGAAAACCTTTCCAAATCCAAATTTTACCATTCACCAACAGAAAGTCCAAACTTTGAAGTGATTTATATGACTTTGAATCTGTCCCCTGTGTCAGGTTCTTTATAATTATCTTATATATCAGCTACTTCACAGTGCTTACAATTCCTTAAACATACCAAGATTGTTTTCTGTACCTTTCCACATTTGGGTATAATGTTGCCTGAAATAACCCTTCTCAAAATTGCCTAATGGATATACATCCTTGAAGAGAATCCAATATCACCGCCTGTGAAGCCTTGTTTTTCTCTTAGAGGCTCCTATTGTAATTCCTGTCTCTGTGTACTACCATATCACATTGAATTTCTTTTATATCTCTGCTCCTGGATTGTGAGTGTTCTTATCAACTACGAAAATTCCTGAACACATATTCTTAGGACTTATTTGTCAGACTTCTGATTGACTTTGTTTAATGGTTAATGGTATCACCTGTACACACATGCTAGATTTCTTTTTAAATTGGTTTAGTTTTTTTATTTGAAAGTCAGAGTTACACAGAGGGAGGAGAGGCAGAGAGAGAGAGAGAGAGAGAGAGAGAGGGATATATATATATATATATAGAGAGAGAGAGAGAGAGAGAGGGAGAGAGGTCTTCCATCCGATGGTTCACTCCCCAGTTGGCCTCCACGGCCGGAGCTGTGCCAATCAGGAGCCAGGAGCCAGGAGAATCTTCCGGGTCTCCCACACGGGTGCAGGGGCCCAAGGACTTGGGACATCTTCCACTGCTTTCCCAGGCCATAACAGAGAGCTAGATTGGAAGTGGAGCAGCTGGGTCTCGACCCGGCGCCCACTTGGGATGCCGGCGTTTCAGGCCAGGAAGTTAATCCGCTGTGCCACAGCGCCGGCCCCACATGCTAAAGATTTTAATCTACTTGTAGTCTAGGCATCATAAGAAGCTAAAGATGTCTACATTCAATAAAGAACCTTCCAAAAATTCTTTGTTACACAGTATAAAACTGAATAACTAACCTCATTTTCTAGCCATTCTCATTGTGTCATATTAGTACTACATAAAAGCAAAATTTTAAAAAGAGAGCTGTTTTAAGGTCACGGTATCTGGGGCCGGCACTGTGGTGTAGTGGGCTGAGCCTCTGCCTGCAGCACCAACAGCACATATGGGCACCTGCTTGAGTCCCGGCTGCTCCACTTCCAGTCCAGCTCTCTGCTGTGGCCTGGGAAAGCAGTAGAAGATGGCCCAAGTGCTTGGACCCCTGCACCCATGTGGAGACCCGGAAGAAGCTCCTGCCTCCTAGCTTCAGATAGGCTCAGCTCCAGCCTTTGAGGCCATTTGGGGAGTGAACCAGCAAATGGAAGACCTTTCTCCATGTCTCTGCTTCTCTATTTCTGTAACTCTACCTCTCAAATAAATTTTTTAAAAAAGGTCAAAGCATCTTAGCTGAATAAGGAGGAGAATTTGAGGGCTGTTGTCTATGTGCACAGATGCAGAGCTAAGAAGAATCAACTTTACTGAGGACTTATCACAGGCTACACAAATTTCTATTCAGTATCCTTTTTAATATTCAGATAAGTACCATCCCTCCATTCCACTTCAGACTTGGAGGGGTTAAATAATTGTCCAAGGCTGCAAAGATGAGACTCAAATATAGGAGAGTGATGGTCAAGTACATGAAGAAGAAATTGAGCACTTGCTAAATGAGAGGTTCTCTACCAAACTTTGAATCCCATGTTTTATTGTTCTCTTTATTCTCACTGCCTAGCACCATTCCTTGTACACTATTGGGGCTTATTGAATACTCAAGAGACTTTGAAAACAACAAGAAGGAGAGCAGTCTACATGAAAACTTCTCTTGGTCTTGACTCTTTCAAAAGATCTCAAAACATGATTTCTATTCTCACTTATTCCAAGGTGTAAGCAAGGGGAAAAAAATAAGATGCTGATTTAATGAGCTGATTCTACAAAGTCTTTCACACAGCAGTTGTCCTTCTGTTACATAGTAGAATGTTTGTTCTTATAACTGGGCTCCAGGTCCCAATCCAAATAGAAAAGGGTCAATACGGATAGTGATTCTGCAATACTTTTATCCAAGACAGCTTTCTGTCCAAACTCATTGAAAGCTTGTCATTTTCCCATCGCAACCACACCTGTAAGAGTTGAGCAGCATTCTCCCTATCCTTCCATTATGCTTAATAGGTCAGTTATACTTTGCGACTTCTCTGTTGTCTGCCAATTTTAATATAGACACAGGCACGACTTCCTTTCTAGGCTAAATCTTCCTTTATTCCATTTATTTTTCTAGATAGAAAAATCTCTATTGAACATCTTCCAAACTGAACCTGGATATAAAACAAAACATTGTTGTTTTCCTGGCTATTGAAATATATACAACGGGCTTCACAGCACTAAGCATTGTTTAGTTGAGTGATAAGACAGAACCCTGTGGACCTAAGCCAGGATACCATAAATTGAATTAAACAATGAGTCAGTCTCTCTCTCTCTCTCTCTTATGAATTAAATGCACTGCCTTGGCGGCACTTGCTTTTTTGTTCACACCAGGTCACCATATTTATTCTGCTCTGTTTCAGAAACTCCACTTACTGTATGAAAGTATCCATCTCACTGACAGTGGGCGAAAATGACACTGGACTCTGCTACAATTCCAAGATGAAGTACTTTGAAAAAGCTGAGCTTAGCAAGAGCAAGGAGATTTCATGCCGTGATATAGAAGATTTTTTACTGCCAACCAGAGAACCTGAAATCCTTTGGTATAAGGTATGGACTATGAATGATTTTATTGCCTATAAATAGATTAATGTGTATCTTATTCTGGGAAGATTGGATAAAAATTTAACTGTGTGACATAGTTCGTCTTTCTCTTTCTAGAATACTACAGCAAGTTATACTAGTTGATATAAATATTTCAGACTATGATTTGATAAATTCTGGTCAATATTTTTATCATAACCCATTGTAACAGGCTGCTGTGTTGAAGTTTATATGGATAATTCTTTCAAGTTTATTATTGTCTGGGTTGATAATTCCAGGAACTAAAATATTTTGACCATTCATTTCAAGGCTTTTCATATTAGCATTCAACATATCCCCAAATAAGGGGACAAAATGGGTTGAATTTACTGTGTGATAAAATGGTACACTCATTTTTAATGGATTTTTTTCTAATGGCTGTAATTTTGCCCATATGTAAGCATACATATTTTAAAGAACATCCGAGAAAGGAATTTTTGTAATATTAAGAATAGTGTTACTATAACTTTCTTCAAAATCCAAAAGAAACTTTAAACTTAAAAAGGGAATAATCAAACCACTGTACTTCCCATAATATCAGCAACATTCACTGAAGTTCAATATTTGAATGTATTTTTTTTAAAGAGTTATAGTGAGCAAGAAGGAGAAACCACTGGGGTTGGGCCAGGCTCCTTCTTCTGGGTCTCCTACATGGGTCCAGGGGCCCAAGCACTTGGGCCATCTCTTCCACTGCTTTCCCAGGCACATTAGCAGGGAACTGGATCAGAAGTGGAGCAGCCAGGACACAAAACTGATGCCCATATGGGATGCCAGTCCGTGTCACAGTGCCAGCCCCTTGAATGTACTTTTAAGCTTATTTACCTCATAAAAACACTTTTTATTATTGAACGTACTGAAAATGAAGTATAAATACTATAAAATATCCATCCCTTAAGGATTCTTGGTATAAAATTGGCTGTGTCTCACTTGTAGGAGGTAAGGCTTTAGGAATCTCTGCCTCTTAGCATCTAGAGCCACAAATGTCAGTATATAAAATACTTATACTGGATTGATTGCTCAAGAATTAAAAAACTATTAGAAATGAAGCAAGAAGCAAACTTTCAAGAACTTTAGTAGGATTTTACTGCACATCAGCAATGCTCTTCTCTGAGTAAGACTTAATTTTCATTCTTGGTAGCAAGCAACAGATGATTCATACCATCTTGGGAACCGTTAAAAGGTTTTTCTACTTGTCCCTTGGTTTTCTATCCCAGATAAGGTTAAGCAGCACTCAAATATTAGCTCCACTAGTTTCTGTTCCTGTGGGGATGAGTTTCAGTTTTCTGTTTAAAAAATTGACTATTTTTCTCGTCTGGTACTCTCTTTGATTTGCCTACCTTTCATAGGTAGATTCTAAATAAGTCCTGATGCTTGCTTCAAGAGAAAGTGGTATTAGGGTAGTTTGATCCAATGTCTCTAAAAACAAATATTTTCTAGTACTAATATGTGTATATTCAGCTTTTCGATAGGCAATTTCTTTGTTATAAAATAATAAGTTGATTTTTAAGAGTTGTGTGTGTTTTCTCCCATTTTGCAAAGAGAATCTCAAAAATGTTCTAAAAGATGGGAGACAACATTCACTGAAACATACTGAATTTCAGGAAGTGGCTGCTCTCACATGATCATTTCGTCATGTTTCTGTCATCACAATCATTATGACCTTAAGACTATCACTAGTAGAATGGTGGGCAGAAAAGCAGTATATACTAGAATTTAAGTTTTCAAGTCCTGGCTGCAGTACTTCCAATCCAGCTCCTGGCTAATGCACCTGGGAAAGCAGTGGAAGATGCCCAAGTACTTGGGCCCCTGCAGCGACATCAGAGACTCGGAAGCAGCTCTGGCTCCTGGCTTCAGCCTGGCCCAGACCCAGCCATTGCAGCCACTTGGGGAATGAACCAACAGATGAAAATATTTATCTCTGTTTTTCCCTATCTCTCTGTAACTCTGCCTTCCAAATAAATAAATAAATAAATCTTTATCTATATAAATATATATATTTATATATAATTCAAATTCTTTCCTTGGTTTAACATTAGTCTCTATAGTCTAAATAGTTGAGATTTAAAGGCTACTACTAAAGTATAATATTATAAAAATAATTATTCTGGCTAAGTATAGGTTCCATACATTCAGTGTACAATTTGTATAGTACTGATGAACAACTAATATTGTTACATAAAATTTATCTTTGCATCTGATATAACTGGTTAATTGCCTTCCAATTATACTGAAATAAGGGACTGAAAAAATTTGATTTGGCAATAAAACTTTTTTAGAAATAATATTACCTCTGAAAAGTGTCAAGGATTTAAAGCTATTTTATTCTCATTCCCTTGATTTCAAATCTGGCTGGAGTAATTGGACTTCTGTTTGGCAAAAACAGAAGTCTCTCGAGCCAACGTCATTATAATCCAAAGCTTAATTCAGAGACTATAATTTGGTAAGTCTATCAACAATGACAAACATTTAGGGGACTGGAAGGACCTTCCATATAAATGTTGACTGTTTTTCACATGGATCATAGAATATGCATACTATGAATAGATTTAATTTTTACTGAATGCATCATTAAATTTTTTCAAAAATTGAAGTTCAACTAATTTTCTGATTTCTATTAAAGTAAAACATTTGTCTTTTTATATTAACATCAGCAACAATAATTTCATAATCATCAAATGTGAAGTATTTGCTTCCAAAATGATGTCAATGTATATGTTGATATATATAGATATATCATGTATATCATGTATACAGAAATAGATATATATGTAGATATAAATGCACTCTAATATCTAATAAATCAGCATTTATCTGAAATAGAAATGCTAATTTTAGAAGTTAATAACTTTTTCTAAAAATACTCTTTTCAAATTGAGCAGAGATTTGGAGAAGGAATCAATTCTTAAGCATCAATTTCTTTTTTTCAATTAAGTTATACAAGTTTCATGTGGTCCATATATACAGATTTAGGAACATAGTAGTACTTCCCACCCTACCCTCCCTCCTGCCCACACTCCAACCCTTCTTCTTCCTCCCTCTCCTTTTCCCACTCTTAATTTTTACAAAGATCAATTTTCACTTTACTGAATGATTCTAAAGTTAATCCTACACTAAGTAAAGAGTTCAATGAATAGTATGAAGAAAAAAAAAAAAAACTGTTCCTCAACAGAAGAGACACAGGCTGTAAACAGTCATCAAATCTCAAAATGTCAACTACATTCCAATACATTACATTTTAGGTACACTATTAGTTACCAAGGTCAGGGAACTTTTTAGGACTGGCTTATTTTACTAAGTATAATGGTTTCCAGTTGCATCCATATTATAGCAAATGACAGGATTTCATTTTTTACAGCTGAATAGTACTCTAAATTATATATATATATATATATATATATATACACACCATAATTTCTTTATCCAGTCAACAGTTGATGGACATCTGGGTTGATTCCATATACTAGCTACTGTGAATTAACTGTAATAAACATGGGGGTACAGATCACTCTTTCATATGCTGATTTCTTTGGATTTGGATAAATTCCCAGGAATGGGATGGCTAGATCATATTGGAGGTCCATATTCAGATTTCTGAGATATCTCCATACTGTCTTCAACAGTGACTGGACCAGTTTGCATTCCTACCAATAGTGGATTAGGGTACATTATCCCCACAACCTTGCCAGCATTTGTTATTTGTTGATTTCTGTATGAGAGCCATTCTAAATGGGGTGAGGTAAAACCTCATTGTGGTTTTGATTTGCATTCCCATCATGGCTAGTGATCCTGAACATTTTTTCAAGTGTCTGTTTGCCATTTGAATTTCCTCTCTTGAAAAATGCCTGTTCAAGTATTTGCCCATTTATTAACTGGATTGTTTGTTTTGTTGTTCAGTTTCTTGAGCTCTTTATAGATTTTAGATATCAACCCTCTATCAGTTGTGTAGTTTGCAAATAATTTCTCCCATTCTGTCAGTTGCCTCTTCACTTTGCTGGGTGTTCCTTTTGCAGTACAGAAGCTTCTCAGCTTGATGTAGTCCCATTTGTCAATTTTGGCTTTGATTGTGCTTCTGGGGTCTTTTCCAAGAATTCTTTCCCTTTGTCAACATCTTCTAGAGTTTCCTCAATATTCTCTAGTAATTTGATGGTATGAGGTCATAGATTTAGGTATCTGATTCATTTTGAGTGCATTTTTGTGTAAGGTGTAAGGTAGGGATCTAGTTTCATATTTCTGCATGTGGAGATCCAGGTTTTTCCAGGACCATTTGTTGAAGAGACTGCCCTTCCTCCAAGGATTGATTTTAGCTGCTTTGTCAAAAATAAGTTGGTTGTAGTTATGTTGATTCATTTCTGAAGCTTCTATTCTACTACATTGGTTTATAAGTCTGTTTTTGTGCCAGTACCAATCTGTTCTGATTTTAACTGCCCAGTAGTAGGTCTAGAAATCTGGTATTGTGATGCCTCTGGCTTTGTTTTTGTTGTGTAATATTGCTTTAGATATTCAGGGTCTCTTGTTTCTATATGAATTTTAGCATTGTTTTTTATACATCTGAGATGAACGTCCTTGGTATTTTGATTGGGGTCACATTGAATCTGTAAATTAGTAGTATGGCCACTTTGATGATATTCATGAACATGGAAGATTTTCCCATTTTTTGTGTCTTCTGTTTCTCTGTTTTATAATTTTCATCATAGAGATCTTTGATATCCTTGGTTAAATTTATTTTTTGTAGGTATTGTTGATGAGATTTATCTTAAAAGTTCTTTCTCAGCCATACATTGTCTGTATATACAAAGGCAATTGATTTGTCTGTTAATTTTTTATCCTGCCAGTTTAGCAAATCCTTTGATGAATTCCAAAAGTCTCTTTGTGGAGTCTTTTGGATCCCCTATATCTAGAATCATGTCATCTGCAAATAAAGATGGTTTGACTTCCTCCTTTCTAATTTGTATCCCTTTTATTTCTTTTTCTTGCATAATGACTCTGGCTAAAACTTCCAGGACTATTTTGAATAACAGTGGTGAGAGTGGACATCCTTGCCTGATTCCGGATCTTAGGGGAAATGCTTACAGCTTTTCCCTATCCAATAGGATGCTGACTATGGATTTGTCATAAATTGCCTTGATTGTGTTTGGGAATGTTCTTTCCATACCCAATTTGCTTAAGGATTTTTTTCATGAAAGGATGTTGTGCTTTATCAAATGCTTTCTCTGCATCTATTGAGATAACAATATGAAGAACTTCAGCTTGTTAATATGATGTATCACATTTATTGATCTGAGAATGTTGAGCCATCTCTGCATACCTGGGATAAATCCCACTTGGTCCAGGTGAATGATCATTCTAATCTGTTGTTGGATTCGATAAACTAATATTTTATTGAGGATTTTTGCTTCTGTGTTCATCAGGTATATTGAACTACAGTTCTATTTCTCTGTTGTATCATTTTCTGGTTTACTAATTAGAGTGATGCAAGTTTCATAGAAAGAGTGTGAGAAGAATCTTCCCTTTCAATTTTTTGGAATAGCTTGTAAAGAATTGGATTTAGTTCTATTTTAAATGTCTGATAGAATTCAGCAGTGAATCCATCTGTTCCTGGACTTTTCAAATGGGAGAGTCTTTGTTACTGATTCAGTCTCCATATTGGTTATTGGTCTGTTTAGGTTTTCTGTGTCTTCATGATTAAATTTTGGTTAGATTGCATATATCCAGGAATCTATGCATTTCTTTTAGGTATCCCAATTTGTTATCATACAGCTCTTTGTAGTAATTCCTGATGATTCTTTTTAATTCTGTAGTATTTGTTGTAAAATTTCCTTTTTCATCTCTGATTTTATTAATTTGAGTCTTCTCCCTTTATATTTTTGGGCCAATGATGTTTCAATTTTGTTTGTTTGTTTGTTTTTTAAACAGCTGTTCATTTCCCTGATGTTCTATATTGGGTGTTTTTTGTTTCAGTTTTGCTTATTTCTTCTCTAATTTTAATTGTTTTGTCCTTCTACTACTTTGAGGTCTGGTTTGTGATTGTTTCTAGGTCTTTGAGATGCATTAATAGCTCATTCATTTGGGACCTTTCAATTTTCTTCATGTAGGCACCAATTGCTATAAACTTCCCTGTAAACACTGTTTTGCTATATCCCATAAGTTTTGATATGATGTATTGTCATCTTTATTCATTTCCAGAAATTTTTTAATTTTTCTTTTTATTTCTTCTATCACACATTGTTCATACAGGAGCATGTTATTCATTCTCCATGTGTTTACATGTTTCGTAGAGATTCTCGACTTCATTCCATTGTGGTAGAGAAGATGCATGGTATGATTTCAATTTTTTGAATTTGCTGTGACTTGCTTTATGACCTAGCATATGGTCTATCCTAGAGAAAGTTCCATGCACTGATAAGAATATGTATTCTGCAACAGTGGAGTGAACAGTTCTGTAGATATCCATTAGGTCCATTTGGTCCATAACGTCTGTTAGCTCTATTGTTTCTTTGTTGGTTTTCTGTCTTGTTGGTGTCTGTTGATGAAAGAGGGGTGTTGAGTCCCCATTCATATTGTATTGGAGTCTATGTCTCCCTTTAGATCCATTAACATTTCTTTTAAATAGCCAGGCTCCTTGTAATTGGGTGTATATACATTTATTATAGTCATATCTTCCTATGAAATTGATTCTTTAATCATTACATAGTGCCCTGCCCTTCTTTGTCTCTCTTAACAGTTTTTGTTTTAAAATCAATTTTGTCTGATATTACGATTGCTACATTTGCCCTTTTTTGCTTTCCATTAGCATGGAATATCTTTCTTCATCCTTTCACTTTCAGTCTACATGTATCTTTGTTGGCAAGATGTGTTTCTTTTAAGCAGCAAAAATATTTTTTTTTTAAATCCATTCAGCCAGTCTGTTTCTTTTAACTGGAGAGTTTAGGCCATTTACGTTCAAGGTGACTATTGATAAGTAATGACTTGGCCCTGCCATTTTTCCATAAATATCCCCATTGTTTACTTTGGATTTCCTTTGTACTTTTGCTGGGAGTTTTTCTGCCTTCACATTCTTTCATAATGATGACTATCTTTCTGTGTTTCTGTGTATAGCAAATCCTTAAGCATCTTTTGTAAGGCTGAAGGAGTAGTGACAAATTCTTTAGATTTCTGTTTGTTATGGAATCTTTATTTCACCTTCATTCATAAATGAGAGCTTTGCAGGATACAGTATTCGGGGTTGACAGTTTTGTTTTGTTTCACTTAAGACTAATCTCTCCATTTGCTGCTAGCCTTAGAGTTTCTGATGAGAAGTCAGACATGAATCTAATTGGAGATCCTCTGAAGGTGATCTGGTATTTCTCTTGTGCACATTTTATTTAGTTTTTAATAGAAAACTTCTATTTAATAAAAATAAATTTCAAAAGTACAACTTTTGGATTATAGCAGTTCTTCCTCCCATAACCACCCTCCCACCTACAAACCATCCCATCTCCTACTCCCTCTCCCATCCCATTCTTCATTAAGATTCATTTTTAATTAACTTTATATACAGAAGATCAACTCTATACTGAGTAAAGATTTCAACAGTTTTCATGCACATTTTAGAATCTTATATTTATGTTTTACTGTTGAAAGTTTGACTAGAGTGTATCATGGTGAATATCTTTTCTGGTCATGTCTATTATGAGTTCAGTGTGTTTACTGTACTTGGATGTCCCTTTCTTTATGCAAATTGGGGAAATTTTCTGTAATTATTTCACTAAATAAGCCTTCTAGTCCATTCTCTCTTTCCACATCTTCAGGAACTCTTAAGAGCTGTCATTTGATAGTATCCCATAAATCTCCAATACTGTTTTTAATTAATTTTTAAAATTATTTCTTCTTCTTCTTCTTCTTCTTCTTCTTCTTCTTCTTCTTCTTCTTCTTCTTCTTCTTCTTCTTCTTCTTCTTCCCTCTTTCCTCTTTCCTCTTTCCTCTTTCCTCTTTCTTTTCCTCTTTCTTCTTTCTTTTCTTCTTTCTTCTTTTTTTTGGTCCTATTGAATTATTTCCAAAGATGTTTCTCATAGCTCTGATATTTTTTCTTCTGCCTCAACAAGTCTATTGTTAAGGCTTTCCACCATATTTTTATTTGATTTACTGGATTCTTCATTTCTAACATTTCAGATTTGTTTCTCTCTAAAATCTCAATTTCATGGTAAAAATTTTCATCATGTCATGTATGAATTTCTTTAGTGCATGGATTTGCTTCTGATTGCTTTTGAGTAATCCTGTGATTAATCTTTTGAATTCCATTTCTGACATTTTATCAATTTCTTTATCTTCACATTCTAGTACTGAAATGTTGTGTTCCTTGGCTGAGGGAATGGGGTCATAATATCTTCCTTTTTATTTCTTGAATTTAAGCATTTATTTTTAAGCATTTGTGGAGATACTTTTTGATTTTTTTCCTCTAATGGATTTGGTGTTTGAATTATGCCTCTGTGGCTTAGTGGAATGTCTGCACTTTCAGTGAATATCCAGAGGTTTGTGTTATATGTGTCCAGGGAGCTCTGGTCAGTGCTCCAGGGTGGGGCAAGTATCAAGGGTGACACCCAAGTTAGATGTGGTAGATCTCCTCTTGTTAACAGAATGGGGGGAATGCACACCTCTGTTGGTGTGATCACCCTCTCACTTTCTCTCCTCCAAGGTAATCAGTGCCAGAATGTTAGTACCCTGTGGGTTCAACACTCATCCACAACATCGTGTGAACCACCCAAAAGATCTGCACAGTCCTCACTCCAAGCACAGATCCTGGTGCAATGACCCATCCCAGGCAACCAGGGAGCTCTGAGCATGTAAATCCACATGCAGTGATTGCCAAGAGACCCAGATACACCCTATACCCTCTTATGCTGCCACAAAGTCCCCACAGTATCAGCACACAAGGCTCCCACAGCTGCTGGGTTCATTGGATCTGCTCCACCCCACCACCCAGTCTGGTCCACAGAAAGGCAATTGTTCCCTGAGCAGCTGTCTGTGGGTGCTCTGCTTAAGCAGCCTGAGTCCCCAAGTGTGAGGTATATTCAGAGGCTGGGGGTACCTTCCAGTCTTACATGGGTGCCCAGCTCCCTGTCAGTCCTTCCAGCCAGGCTCAAAATCGGTGGGGACTGCAGATTTTTCCCTCTGTTAGAATCTCAGGATCACACATGTACATAAGAGCCACTGGCCAAATGTTGCCCTCTCCCTGCTGTTGCTGTGAGTACTGCTGAGAAGATGGTGCCCTGTCTCAGCCAGTTGCTGTATGAACACACAAGGGCTTCCACAGCTGCCACTTTAGCCCAAAATGGAGCCTGCCCTCAGCTGGGTTCTGGGTGCCATGGTGAGGAGGATGGGTTGAGAAAAACGTGATCCTTTTACTTCTACTGGTTCCATGGGTACCTTCTAGCCCCTAGTACTCTAGGCCAGATTCATGCCATGCTCTCCTTCTAGCTATATCACCAAGGGTTGCTGCAATCTGATCTTACCTCTGTCTCCAAGCTGATGCCCTCTCTGGCTTTCAGCTGCAGGAGTCATGTTTTGTGTCCTTGTTTGTGCTGCACATCTGCACCTTCCACACAGGTCCACAGCATTCCTCTTCCTTCCATAGAATTTCCACTGTGGTTTTCTCTCTAATTCAGTCCGAGAGTGCACTTCCTATAATTTTTTTTTTTTTTTTTTTTTTTTTAGCATTTTATCCCTAGCCTAGTGCAGCGCATTGTTCCCTATTCAGCCATCTTGGAATCCCCAAAGAATCAATTTCAAACTCTTTAGTTTCTTTAAAACTTGAGAAGCTTTGGATTTAGTTATTTAAAGTACTTTTCTCTATTTTTCAGTTACTATGTGCATTACCAAAATTTTATGTTCTTTATTTAGGAATGTAGGACAAAAACATGGAGGCCGAGTATTGTATTCAAAAGAGATACCCTGCTTATACGAGAAGTCAGAGAAGATGATATTGGAAATTATACCTGTGAATTAAAGTACGGAGGCTTTGTTGTGAGAAGAACTACTGAATTGACTGTTACAGGTAATCACAATCTTCAGTATTTCATTTGCAAGAAATGCAATTACCATTTTAAGTTAGTTTTGTGCTGCATATTGATTTTTAAAATCTGTGCAATGAAAGAAGTACTTAACCAAATGCTAAGTGGTTTCCTATAGGTGAAATTTATTCATCATTGCTTTTAAACTATCTTGTGCTGAAATTTATTTGAAAGGTTAAAGAGGAGAATTATAATTAGGGAATTATAGAAATGTAAGCCTTTCAAAGTACCTGAAATAATGAGTTTGCAGTTTCAGGAAATTATGCTTATATTTTGTGGTGATATCAATTTTGGAAACATTTTACAGATTGGTGAAATAGAATATATGAAATCTACTCTGTCTTCTTATCCTGCTCCAAATTTGAAAAATCACTTTTCCTTTTTATTCATCTATCACTTATGAGTCTGATATATGTGTTATCATCAACTTGAAAATAGCATAATTTTAGGTACAGTCATAGAATAATTATGAGAGATGTGATGCATGGAATCATTCTCAGATCTGGTTGCTAAGGGGAAAGGATATGAGAGCAGGATTCAGAACACAGCCTACGATCATGAAGCTACAACTCAGTAGTCATGTGACATTGATTGAATCACCACAGCCTTCAGAATATTAATTTCTTCATAGAGAAAATGGTAATGATTAAATGTACCTTGTTTATTTCATACGGTTTTTGTGAAGATAGAATGAGGTAAGGCAATATGTATGAAAGCGGACTGCAAAGTGCAGAATTATATCCGAAAGTATATCATTTTTTGTCATGTAGAAAATTGTATTCATATGTTTTATAACTTTAAAATGTACTTATCTAAAGTAGTTTGTGATAAAAGGGGGAGGGTAAATGAGAGCAACACTAGGATATTAAAGATATGACTCTCATATTATTGAAAGAGATTCTTGGTGGTGACTATTTTTATATGATTGTGTATTTGTGAAACATAGAAAAACTATAAAAAGGACATTAATAATTTTAAATTAAAATACTTTAATTCCTTCATTTATGCATTTAAAATAGCTTCTAGTGTATAAAAATTGTTTTGTGGTAGTGACTTACATATTATAATAATCAAATTCTTCTAAACCTTGAAATTATATACTTTTACTTAAAAACTATGTTTCTTTTCATGGAATTCATCAGATGAGTAATAATGATACTGACAGAAGTATGTGTGTCATTTAAACAAATAAGATGCTCTTTAGCAATGCTTTTGACAAATGCACCACAAAGCAGCTGACACTTGTAATATATGATAGACTTGAACAGTAAATGAGTATTCAGTCTTTTACTTAGATTATGTCCGTATGGTAAACATTTTAATAGCTTGATTTTCAGTTTTGCTATGTATAATAGATCTCAGTATAGACAACTCAAATCAATACTTGATCACTTTACCTCCCTGTATTTTTAATGGACCAGTAGAAAATTGTCTATATAATAGTAAAATGTTTTTCTCTCTCTCTTTTTTTGCTTTCAATCTATACTGAAGTAGCTTTTGTAAGTATTAGGTATTGAGGCAAAGGAATTAAAAATATAAAACAAAAAGATATTTTCAGAATAGAACTAGTATGTACCCCTAGTCTTCATTCCTCAGAGTGTAGAATACTTGGCAAGCACAACCTTCTCCCTTCTATAAATACTATGATTCTAAACTGCTACTCAGTAGGAGATGATTAGAACTCAGTCTCATGCAAACTGGACCCTGGGACCCAAATGGTAACACAACTTATCTAAGGTTATTTTGTAGACCCAAGAATACAAGTGGAACTCTTTTCCCCTGAATGCTTTCCAAGGATACTATACTTTCCTAAGCCTTGTGGAACATATTTCCTTTCCTTCATGTGAAAATGAAAAATATTTAAGTTTTGATTACTAAGAAGAAGTTAAAGTTTAAATGAAACTTTTTAATCACCTGATTATCATGAATGCTTCCATTTTAAGTAGCGTTATCTATGACATTGATTTGGAAAAACAAATTACAAAGCAAAACTTGATTAAATGAGAAGATTTCAGAAAGTTCATAGAAAATATATACTATGACAAACTATGCATCAAACACTTTTGCATGAAAATAAACATAATGTGTTTCCATATTCCGTGAATTTTTGAAGTTCCCATGTATAAAATTATGGGTAATGGAGAACTGCATTCCTAGAGTTAAAAATTTATATTAAAATGCATTTTAAGAGCTAACAGCATATATGTTAAGAAGATGTATTATGTGTAACCTTGCTTTAAATGATGTGCTTCTTTAGCACATTTACTTTGTAGCCAAATTGAAGAACAATTCCTTGAAACTAAATTATATCCCTCAGTAAAGCAACAAAAGTATGCATTTCCTGGAGGAGGAGGATGAATCACTGTTCTGTAGCTTGGCTTTCTGCACATCATTATCATATTGTTCTTAATGTAAACATTATGCAAAACATGTTATTTAGTTATAGTGGAGATGCCTTGGCTTATAATAAATATATATGTTGACATTCATTAAGATATTTCTTTATTAAAAGGAGATAATCCCATATGTGAACAAGAATTTTCTCACTAAACTTATAGTACAGGTACCTTAGTGAGTATAGTCATAGTTTCTCTTTCCTATCACTTATGATGCTGTTGTCATTTATTTCACTTATCCATATGCTATAATCATTCAATAATATATTTTCACTGTTAACTTTTAATCAGAGTTATCATTTAGATCGACTTAGAATAGGATAAATAAAAGATGCTATTTTACCATCATTTGCTCCTTTTCTTGTACTCTTCTTTATGTAGATCCATGTTTCTAATCCTATACATTTCCTTCCTTCCTGAAAAATCCTCCTTTAGCATTTCTTACAGTGATAGTCTAGTGGTAATAAATTCCCTCTTTTTCTAAGATATAGAATGCCTTTCTCTTTCCCTTTGAAGGATAATTTTGCTGGATATAGAATTCTAGACCGGGTGTGCAGGTGTGTGTGTGTGTGTGTGTGTGTTTTACTATTTTCAATATCCTACTCTATTTTTTTTTTATTGCTTGTATGATTTTTTGGTATGAAGTTCACATCAATTCTAATCCTTCTTCCTCTATAGATACATTCACCCTATATTCTTTCCATAGTTTATCTTTATTTGTTTTTCCTGTAGTTTGAGTATGGTAACCTAGATGTTAGTGTTTGGGGTATTTTATCCTGCTTGTCTTTTTCTGAGGTTCCTGTTTTGGAGTCTGTTATCAGTTTTGGAAATTCTGTGGTCATTATTATTTCAAGTATTTACTCTGGGCCATTCTTTCTTCTACATCTGGTATTCCAGTTATACATATATTTATGCCTTGTGAAATTATTCCTCAGTTCTTGAGTATATTATTGTGCTTTTATCAACTTTGTCACTGCATTTGGTTGGTAAACTTTCTACTGACCTATTTTTATGAACACTGATACTTACTTTTACTGGGTCAGTTTAATGATGGGTCGATCAAAGGCATTCTTCACTTCTGTGGCAGTTTTCAATTTCTAGCATTGCTTTTTGATTCATTTTAGAATTTCAGTCTCTCTGCTTACATTACTCATCTGTTATTTCGTGTTATCTACTTTCCTCCACAGGAAATTAAACCTGTTAAAAACTGGTATTCTAAATTCCCTGTCTAATTATTCCAACATCTGTGTCATATCTGGAGTCTGAAGCTCAGTGGCTTCTGTTCTAAGTAAGCAATCTGAGCTATAACTGTGGATATTATTACTCTCCAAGTTTGGGAGTGGTTGTTTGCCTTGAATCCTTAATTCTCAAGAAAAGTTTTTAATATTCACATTTTTTGGCTTTTTCTTACTGTAACTTCAGAATGATAATTTCCAAGGTATTTACAAAAGAAAATGAAACTAATAGGGGCAGTATGATTTTTAATTTTGGGTACTCGAATTCAAGAATTTAGGATAATGTCTGACCTAAATAGTCACTCAACAGATGTACATTCTTCAGTTATTTAATTAAATATCATTAACACACTCCAGTTTAAATCAATTACATTTAAATTTTTTACAATTGTCAGAATAATACTCTTGACATTTGAAAAATAGAGAATGAACTCCTTCTTCCAGATCTCAAGTTCCACTTTTATTAATATTACTATTAGTACTAAATCTTTTTATTTCCTACATTATATTGATGATTTGTATTCAACTTTAAATCAAATAGGTTCATCTTCCTTGCTTTAAGTCAAATACCTACCTGTTATTGGACGGTTTGATAAAATTATAAGGCTGAATTTTCACATTAAGATGTTTCATATTCAGACAGTTGTTGTGGTACTGTTGGTCAAGCCGCTGCTTAGGATGGCCCCATCCCTTATCAGAATCTCTTTGAGTCCCTACTAGTCTATCGTGTTCTTGCTTCCTGCTAATTGGCATGGGAAGGCAGTAGATGATAGCCCAAATACTCGGGTCCCTGATATCCATTTGGAAGACTTAGGTGGAATTCCTGGCTCCCCTTGTCAGCCTGTCCCAGCCCTGGTTGTTCTGGTCATCTGGGGGAGTGAACCAGTGAATGAAAGATCCTCTCTCTACGTGTGTGTATGTGTGTGTGTGTCTCTCTACCTCTTTTTCTGTCTACCTTTTAAATAAATGAACAAATGTTTTTCAGAAGATGCTTCATATTACTTTTTAACATGCCATCCCAGTCTATCCAGATATGTTTTGTTCTTTGTATTCCACCAGATTAGCTTCTCTTTCCTAATAAAAAAAAAAAAAACCACTAGATTTTTGGCCAGCGCTGCGGCTCACTTGGTTAATCCTCCTCCTGCGGCGCCGGCACTCCAGGTTCTAGTCCCGGTCGGGGCACCGGATTCTGTCCCGGTTGCCCCTCTTCCAGGCCAGCTCTCTGCTGTGGCCCGGGAGTGCAGTGGAGGATGGCCCAAGTGCTTGGGCCCTGCACCCACATGGGAGACCAGGAGAAGCACCTGGCTCCTGGCTTCGGATCAGCATGGTGCGCTGGCCGCAGCGCGCCGGCCG